TCAAGAGGAGGTGCAATTGTTCAGTGGATCAATTTGCTAAGAAAAGAAGGTGTTCCTGTTACACGCATTCACGTTTCGGGCGCCTACACGAGCCTAAGTATGTGAGTGGGTTTGCTCGAGCTGGGGTTTTCCCTTTCGCAATACCCTGAAGCGTTTTGCACACCCAATCCGCCTCCACGACATTCAACGTAGCTTTCTTGGTCGCTGTCGTATCATTTATCCTCTCGTCCACTCTCAATCAACGCCAGTATCACTTGATCAGCACCATTCGCACCAATGACCCTTTCGTTTCCAATGCGAACCCCATGTAATATGCCTGGCTCGTCGAACGTGCGTTCTGCCTTGAGTGTCTCGGTGTAGAGTTCTTTCAAAGGGCCCATTATCGGCGGATGGCACCGATACTGCATATCAAATCGAATAGGTTGGTTGATTTCGTGGTAGGGTTCGAGGTCGAAACTTGTAGTCGGAGTGGGTCTCCACCATCTATGCAATTATGCGTCGAGGATCGTCATCGATCAGAAACGGGGGAGCCTCCGCGAGTCTCCTGTGAACACTAATGTTGATGTATTTTCCCGCAACCCATGTCTAGCGCCGAGATCGGGGCCAAACCCGCTTTGTCCACGATGCAAAAGTCGACTTTTATTTTTTCAAATTGCACGCCGGGCTGTTAGGTAGACAGCAAATTAACTTCATCTAATTTACATGAGCTACTTTTTGATTCACGGTTAAACACCACTACGATCTGATAATCTACCTGCATCGGCTTCGTATTGGTTCTCATACATATCCTGGGCACTAACAGTCACTCGAAAGGATCTACGCCACTCTGTCAGTCAGTCGTTATGCAAATCAATCAGTAGGCATGTCAGCAATGCAAGTAAATCCAAAGCATGCGGGAGATAGTCGATGGACGCTACAGTATTATCATAAATACTCAGTGGAACAATTTCAAGGTATTATATTGAAGTTTGTGGCGACCATCGGCAATGCCTACCTGTCCTTAAAGATACTTCGCGCTGGAAGCTGATCAAACCTTGCTCAAATAGACCGTCTCAATCAATGATATGATGCCAACTGCCTCCCGGTAATGACGTGACAGATGGCATTATGTTTGAGTATGGGTATTTACTCCAGCTAAACGGGGATCCCTCACCGATCTATGCCACTTTGGAACGTCATTGATACTAACGTGTCTTTTGAGCAGCATAAATTAAGTTTGCAGCCACGCGCGCCTCCGAACGTGTCATTTGAGGAGCGCTCAAATGAGAGTGTAGACAAAATCTTATCGGGTAAGATGGTGCTCACCTTCCAGATCACGTTAAACTCTGGTCATGTCTCCCATAACATGTGAACACAAAGGCTGCAGTGTTGGTTTGGAGCGTTGTTCGCAGTGTACATATATTATATGTTGTTTCGCGCTAAGTAGAAACGCTAAGGCCACCGCAGCGCAGCGGAGGTGGTCAACCCTCTCTACACCAGCCAGTTATTCGCAAGCGTCCGCGGAGCGGGCGTCCAGAGCTCTAGTTTACCGCCTACTTACCGAGTAGCCTGTCCGGCTATCTATCGGTCAGTACTTTTCCTTTCTTGATCCGTTTTCCTACTTTTTCGCATATCTACACTCGGCCTGTCTTATACCGTTTCCCCCATCTTATCAACTGCGACTGTCTTTCTGACTCACCCTAGCTGTGACAAAACTACAAATATAATTAAAAGCGTCACACAATTAGATCGCGTGCGCATTGGTCAATATTTGCTGACCTGCGGCACTGACTGGATCTGTCACACGATTAGACCGTCTGTCGCCCCCGCGATTGGACGTAAGGTAAACATATTTCTGCCAAGCACGAAACGCACGGATGGGTTGCAAACACCAACGCGAGTGGTGTTGACAATTCTATATTTACATTCGCTACTCAAAACCTGTCATATGTACATTAAACTTGGCACACTAACCACCGCTTTTTGTAAGGACTTTGCGAGCATTTGTTTTTAGTTTATATGACACTCCACTGTCACCGTGCAATGAAAGCGCACAGATACACGGTCATTGCGCTATCTGCTCCCGCGCCCCGCACCGACGAATGCATGCGCGTACGGTACATAATTGTTTTAGTCACTTTTATTGCCTCTGTGCAAGGTGCTGTGTGACCCCGTCACAGTAACTACTCACAGGTAGAAAGCCTCCGACGGATCGAGGCTTTGTTGCCACGTCCGGAGCCGCCTGCGGCACACTCCCAGACGTACGCGTATGGTGCGTACCCGGCGTACTCAGCGTACTCGGCGTATGGCGCCGGGGTCCGTTCGTATGGAGCCCCTCCGGCGTACGGTCTTGACCGCAGCCCTTGCCGTCCCGACCGAGGCTTGGGTGCCTGCTCCGACGCCCTCGTCGACGACTGTGACCGGCCCTCGCTTCGAGGAGCTGGGTCAAGGGGGGTCTGCGAGTCAGCAACCCCCTGCGGGTCAAAGTACCGCTTAAGACGTCCGACATAGAACGTCGGGTGCGTCGTCATTGACTTTGGAAGGTCGATGGTGTACGACGCACCATGTCTGGCCAGGACTGCAAAAGGTCCGATGAAGCGGTGCTTCAGCTTGTTGCTGCCGACAGAGCTGACAGTGTCTAGCGGTAGGTTCCTCGTGTCTAATAGCACTAAGTCCCCCACTTTAAATACACTTAAGTTTCCTCTTCCATGTTTGTCTGAGTACTCCTTTTGTCTATCCTGGGCCGCTGCCATGGCATCGCGGACCCTGCTGACAATGTTCAGCTTGGTATCCATAAAGGATTCCACCTGTTTCCGCAGCGAAACTGGCCTCACATCCGAGACCTGGGAGGAAAGGGCTTTCCGAGCCTCTCCCCCACTTAGAATAGAGGAGTCAGTGTTTCCTCGAAGAGTGAGAGGCACTCTGGGGTGGCGGAAGCCGTTCA